CAAAAAGAAGAGTCCTCGCTTCGTCGAACTGTTTTGGCTTCAGTCGGGTGTCGAACTTGTCAATGACAAAACTTACAAAACCGACATGCCATGATTCTTTAGATGATGCTACCCAGGTGTATTCGTCTGTTCGCGGGAGCGGATGCCGAGAACACTGCCAGACTCGCCAGCCTAGAGAATGGAGATGGAGAGGTTGGGTTTTTCTTTGCTTTTCCGTTCTGAGCCGCGGTTTTTTTGGCATTGGATGAATTACAAAAGTGAGTTCCCGGCCGTCAGGCGCCAGAGACTCCCACCGCCTCCCTGCAGGTCCTCCTTCGACAGGCAGGCTCGAAAAAAACAGCATTCGCAGCCTCTGTCTCTCTAGGAAAACCATTGCAGAGCATGCAGAGCATTGCAGAGCTCTGCTCGGAAATTTGACCCGAGCTTACCGTCATCTGTGATGAGGCACGCGTCGCCTTCCAGACTGGGAACTACAAGGCACACGGCTGTGGATATGCGTCTCCAAACTCACATATCGAGTCCAGTTCTGAGTGGCACATAGGTTCTGCCTGCCTTAATTGCCAAGCCTTCGGAGGTTGTTTAGCATTGTCAGCCTTTGCCCCCTGCTGTCTAGGCCAGCGGGCTTGTCGGTGCTCTTCGTGGGGAGGAGAACTCTCAGCGCGAGAATCTGCTGCATGCCGTCACGCTCATCTCCGACATTATGTATCTGCTCGGGGAGGCGGGGGGACACTCGTGTACAGAACTCAAGGTAACTCCAAGACAAAGACGGCTTGCCGACAGGTCATGGTTCAGTTCCATCGCATCAGTGACGGGCTGGGAGACTATGGCATGATTCGGGTGGCTCCATGGCTACATCCCATATTGGATTCTCTGCAAGAGAAGGTGCAGCAACTAAAGGCTAGCCTGGAGCAACTCAGCAACTCCCTGGACTCGGCCTACGTATTGGCACGGGCCCGTGGCCAAAAAATCCAGAAGCCAGCGCCTTCGGAGAAGATGTGCGCTCGTGCCCGAGATGCCATTCAGCGCGCGCTGCTTGGCGGAACCAGCCATGCGAGTCAGCTGCTGCAGCTCGCAGAGGAGCTTCGGGCACGCTCGGCACCAGAGCGCTTGCCTCATCTGGCCAAGGGCCTGGGTGATGCATGCCTAACGTTGAGCGAGGTCCTGGTGTCTGCTGAGTTCAGGCGACACGTTGGGGATTCGTTCCCACAGCTACCTACACTGACGGACTTGGGCTCGGATCCCAAAACACGGACCATGAAGGCAGGCATGGCGACGCTGGCCCTGGAAGACTTGGGCGGCATGCAGCCCCGCTTCTCAGAAAGGCGGCCGGTGCGGGTTCGCACTGAGCCAAAAACGGCCCACATCATGAAGGTGACTCCGTGGACAGATGGAGATGTTCAGGACACAGCATCCACATCAGCTACGCCACGTACGATGGCACGCGAGAATTCTCAGAGTTGCAGCAGCTGCTGCTCAGCTCAGACTGTTGGCATCCCCACAAGTGGCCCGGTGCTGACTTTCGAGGTCAACCGCCTCACGTCCTTTGAGCCTCTAAAAAGGCACGATCGCAGACGAATCGAAATTCAGCATGACGAGCTCTTGATATACAGCACGGGCTCACAATCCAGAATTAAATCTGCAGTGCAGCTACCCGAAGGGGTGGAGCGCGTGTTCCTCCTGTCCGACACTGTCCTCGAGGCTTGCTTCTCACTTGTTCCGGCGGATGCCGTACCGGGAGGTGGTGTGGTACGGCCAAAGGACTACATCTTCGAGTTTGCTACACCTGAGCAGGCCGACATCTTTTGCGAGGACTGTGTTGCGGACACGCTGGGTTTTCCCTGCGATAGTGGGATGTGGTGACACGGGCCCCCAAAAAGATAATCTCGTTCATCAGCGTTGAGTGAATGAAGTCAATTGCATGGGATCGTGGAGTAAGGTTTGGGAGGAGTTCCTGCGTGCTATTTATTGAGGACAACAACGCAAGTGCTTTGCAGATGAGATGCCGACCCCGAGGGAGCTTGAGATGCTGATGTTGCAAGTACTTACTTACTTACTTACTTACTTACTTACTTACTTACCTACTTACCTACTTACCTACTTACCTACTTACCTACTTACTTACCTACTTACCTACCTACTTACCTACCTACTTACCTACCTACTTACCTACTTACCTACTTACCTACTTACTTACTTACTTGCTTGCTT